TAAAATGTATCAATAAATATATATATATATTAAAAAAAAACAAAGTCAGTGTTGTTTTCAGGATTTTTCTTTTTCTATTTTTAAAAAAGCACTTAGAATAAAAACTTACAGGAATTTTCAAAAATGTATGTTTGAATGAGACACTTTACAGTATGTGTCAGTTTCAACAATATAACTAGTTTTTAATATTTTTGTTTGATTTTAGATTCATATTTCTATGTGGGCACATCAATATCTATTTAAGGTAATATGAATTCCACTATATTCTTGAGTTTTAGTATTTTGCTATTTTTGTTCACTTATGATAAATGCCTCTATAAAAAAACCAAATTTACAAGTTTAGACTTGGAAGAGGCAAAGATTTTGCCTCTGTGCAGGTGGGTTCCCTAGGTAATTGGAAGCAATTGTGTACTGAGTCCTGGAAATTTGATAGAATTACTTAGAGCTGGCATTAACTGGAGTAGCACAAACAGGTTCTTATCAAGTCAGATGGAAGCTAACACACATTTTGATCTTAATCTTTTGAATCACCCCAGGTACATAGTGAACAACAGCACTCCAGACTGCTGGGCCCCTGAATGGTCACATCTGTCCACCTAAGATGTCACTGAATTTTGGAGCCTAATTTATATCCCAAATGCTCACTACCATTCAGGATTTTCAAATTCGCAAAAGCATTCCAAGGATTTTCTTTCCTTTTCATACTTTCTAAAGCTGTCTCCCAAGGCCATAGGATGCTCCCCTGAGAATGTTGAAATGCTCTAATCCCCTCACTTGGAATCCCGATTTGCGAATGCTAACATGGGGTATTCGCTTCTACACACTTGTTAGCATCAACTGGTGCAGATATCTGGCCAGGCCCTGACTCCAGAAGTGACTTAGGGGCCACCTTCTGATTTCTTTCATCAACTGACATTATCCACATGCTCACTTTATGCCTCACAGAAGTGGAGGCAGTTGAACTGATCAGAAAATGTTCTCCTGGAGAGAAAATCTGAATCCTGTAGCTCCCCCAACCACGGGGAGTAATGGAAAATTCAGAGTCTTGTTTTCGTCCCAATGGACAGCCCAAATCAATATGAAGAAATTCCAAACTGGAGAAGAAATGAATTCTCCCCAGAGATCCCCTGACTATCTGAAGACGTGCATCCAGCAGGGTACACTGTGAACACCCATGAGGTTAATTCCTTATGACATCTCTGAACTCGTCTACTTTGGGCCTTTTCAGCCCCTGTGGCATCAACACAATCCATGGATTCTTCTTTCAGATAATTAATTTGGCATGTTCTGTGACTGAGTTCATTGAATGTTTCATGTTTCATTGGAAGTTTGGCACCTACGCCTGGACATGTAACGATTCTACCTGTTTTGCTTCTCTTTATACCTGAGGCACTGGAGAGAGCCCATCCTTTCTGAATGAACACCGGTGGTCCCTTCCTAGCCTTCCCTGGAGGGCAGTGGTTTGTCTACTGGGTCCTAGTGTGAGAATATGTGAGACAACCTTGATTTGTGCATTGGCTGTACTTTCCTTCTCCATAGTTGTCAAGCTCCACCTTTCAGTACTTTGAAAATGAGGATCACATCTTACCTCTTTGCAAAAAAAGAGAGCATTTTGGGGATGAGGGTTCCAAAGTGAAGGCTGTCTACACAGGGCATGAGTCAATGCTCTAGTAGGGGCCCTGAATGTGCTTCATGTAGCTTCTGATCAGGAAGGCATACCTCAACCTAGTGCTGACTAGTTGGACAACTGAATGCCGGCCCAAATCTCTGTGAGGCACAAGGGTGGAAACTCAAAAACGTACAAGGCGTGTCTCATCTTTTAATTGGAGTGAAATATCCCCTGGAACTGCTGTGCCTGCAGAGTGCTGCCTTCTAAACAGAATAGGATGCAGGTCCGGGCACTGAGCACATTTCCAGTGCCTTCCCAGGCACCAAACACAGAAGAGCCACTCTGTTGAAGAGCACAGCCACAGGGCATTTCCACCAGAACAGGAAGTTTCAGTGGACGCGGCCACATCTTCCCTCTCACCAGTACACTGACTGGCTTGAAGCACTGGAAAGGTCCATCTCCCCAAATAAGCAGCAGTGCATAGAGAACATAAACACTCACCCAAACCCAGCCTACGAGGCTAAGATGCACTCAAGTGCATATTTCAGAGATTTATCAGCCTGTGATCAATACCTAATTTTAAAAAGAATTATATCATAGGACAGGGGCTAGAAATATGCTATTTTCCTTTGTATGTGAATTCTAGTTGATTCATGGCCTGAATATCCAGTACATTACCTGGCTCTCCTTTCATCCCCCGCCACTCAAGAATTAGATTGATTTTATTATAGGTCCATTCCTCTTTGTTTATGGTATCGTGTCTGTTTGATAAAGAACGAAACTCTGGCAGAGATTTAAGTGTTAAAGATGTTATATATGCAAAAAGGGTAAACATCAGCTATAGATCCGAGCTAAATAGCTAAAAGTGCATTGTTTATCATGGCTCGCTTGACTGTTAATCTCACATACATCACAGACCTAACAGGGAACAGGCCTCACAAATCCATAAACAGCTTCCAGACCAAGCTATCCAATGAGTGATATTTAAACATAGCATTCATAAAATAAGTAATAGGATCTCAGAGTTGATGGAGACCATAGAACTGTCAGAGAAATGGATGCCAAAACTTCTCCTCAGAAAGGAGAGAGCTCCAGTCCCCAGGGCAGAGGCTGTGTGGGGGCGTCAGTGTTAGACCCATCTTCCAGCCTGCGCCAGGGCTGCGGTGGGCTCTTAGTTCTTTGCCCTAAGCTGATGAGGGGGATGAGGGAGACGGGGCAGAGGGGAGGAGGGAGAGCTGGCTGCGATCTCTCGCATGTAGGAAGTACTCCTGGTGTCCAGCTGGCATGGAAGCCTGTGTCACAGCCTGGCATGGGAGAGCCCCATCCTTCTTTTCCCATAGCAGCTTTTCGAGTTTCCATCTGGCTGAAAAGTTGCCACTTCCTGGAGTAGCCCAAATGTCCAGCCAGTGAAATTTCTGGAGCCAGAGCAGAAGTGTCCTGCCTTGGTTAATTTTTCTTTGTGCTTTACTCTCTGGCTTGGTAAGAAAAGCTCCATGCTCCCTTAGTCTTCTTCTCTCAAAAGGGATCTGAGCATTTCTCTCAAGGATTTAGAGATGTAGTTTCAGGGGGATAATAAATTGCCTGAAAAGGAGTGAAGTGAAATTCAACTTGGAGATCCTAGCCTTCCTTAAACTATCAAATGTATCTCTGACCAAGAAAGGATAAAGGCTCCTACAAAAGGAGAAAAGATGCGCATGCGTGTGCGCATGTGTGTGCGTGTGTGTATGTGTGTCTATTGGGGAATGAACCCAAGGCCTTGTGCATGCTAGACAAGTGCTCTGTACTCCATCTCCACTCCTCTCTCTGCGGTTCCAGAGCTGGGGGCTATGAAAAGGGACACAGGGCCTCCAGACATCTTTCTCCCTCACCAGAGGGCTCCCACAAGGAAATCCCTCATCTCCCAGAATGGAGCACGCTGCAACAGGAAATAGGACCCCACACCACAAGCTGACTCAGAGAGGCGGCACCCCAAGTAGATGACACCAAGACCGAGATTAACACCCAAGGCAGGAAAATGGCAGTTTCTGCCCCCTGGGTTGGCTGTTGTGCAAAGATGCTGGAGAGGATGTGGGTATGGACAGAGGAGCTGCGGTGGGCACAGGCCAGGGATGCGGCCCAGACAAGCTAGAGTGGGCAGGGACTGCTAGCCCCACCCCTGCCTCTCTCGGAAATGGCCGGGCACCTTCATTGTCCCCAAGGGCAGGCTCAGCTGCCACCAGCTGACTATTGCTAAGGAGCCATAGAGTCATCATTTTTACTTTCTTTTTCAATATTTAGGAACCATATCTTCTAATAGATTCTTTCCAATTAAAACAATGGAATCGAGAAATTCCATACACCCAATAGCAAGAACTCCATTTCCCAGTTACAGTTATGAACTAAAATTACACTGAAACTTTCATGTGGGACTCTACAAGGCAAACTTAAAAAATATCTGCTGAACTAAATATCAGGCAATGTGAGCTATTAGTATGTTTGCCTCAAGCATTTGATCATTTATTTTTGAAACAGTCTCCCTATGTAGTTTAAGCTGGCCTTGAACTCACTGGGTAGTCCAGGCTGGCCTTGAACTCATGGAGATCCTCCTGCCTCAGCCTCCTGAGTGCTGGGATTAGTGGCGTGCACCACCATGCCCAGCTGTATTATATTAATTTCTGGATGCGGTGTTACAGCTCCACTGGAGTTTTCAGGGACTCTGGCTTTCAATATGAGAAGGAGATAGTGTATCCTTGACTAGATGCCCAATATTCCAGATAGAAATATTTAGTAGATTTTTAAAGAAATTCTCACAGGTGATGATAGACTTGAAAACCCTACATTATAAACCTCTTCAATATCAAGAGGCCGGATATAATGATTTGTATAGTTTATTTTAACTTTACATGCGGTGTTAAAAACCCAAAGTACATATTATTTACACATCCACAATACAAGTTTACAAGATATCTATACATGTTAAAGTACTCTATAAAACAGTATAGAGCCACTTCACTTTAGGGTTACTTTTTATGCCGTACCATTAAAAAAGATACAATCTGTGTTTACCTTTGCACAAATGGATAAAGCATTTAAAAATTAAATTAACAAGATACAGACTAGAGTCAATGTTAGAAATCTCAACATAAATACTGATAGAACTCACGAACTACAAGGCCGCACAATGTTACAAAATGTTATCTGGGGTCACACAGAGTTACCACGCTGGGATTAATATTGGTAAGGTAAATTCAAACACATGTCTGTTGGTGGTGGACTGAGTAGTGTTTATCATGGGTTGGTTTAATTTATTATTATTAATCAGTAATATTTTAGTTGCAAAGCTGAAGTGTTTCAAGAACAGATGTTTTAGCTTTTTTGAGATCACAGGAAATCAGGTTCTTTATAAAACAGTGTTCTCAAAGGAAAAGAATAACTGCATCAGTATATCAGTATTCGACATTCTGTATAAAAATGATCAGGTCTTCCGCATCACATCCTCCCTCAAGCAATAGACAGCATCAGGGTTGTTCCAGAAATCAGCTAAACTTACTGTCTGACTGGGTCAGCCGTCTTCTTCTGCCATGGTACTTTCTAGATTAGGTTCAATAAATAACTGGTTGGTGTGTGGCGTATCAACTGACACTGGCATTGGGATGGGATTTAGCCGTAGGTGGATCTGCCACTCCCTGTGGCAGTGGCTCTCCCAGGGAAACCTCGTCTGACTCCACATTTTCCCTGCTTTATCCCCAGGAAAGCAGGCATGGAATGCTTACCACAGCAAAGGATGCAAGGCTGCTATTACGACTGACTGTGTACCAATTCATTGTTCTTGGTCATTTTTATGATTTTTTTTTTTGTAAAAGTCTTTTCAGGTGCTGGTTGAAAAACATTTACAAGTGGCACTCAGTAAATGATGTGCTATGCTGAAAACACTTGACATATTTTAGTACTTCTATCGTTCTCGTGAATAAGGCACAAAATGCACAGATTCAGGTAAACTCACATGTGATATTTACAGTACGTCGTCATAACCTGCACGACTCAGGAGAAAATCCTCACATAACACAACAGAGACAACATGATTGTAACTACTCATTACGTTTCCACAGACCATTCTGCTTATGCCAATTACAATTCCTCTCGTAGGTCTTTTCTTCTGTACTGTTTTTGTTTTTGTATTTATTTTTTACCTTGTGGGTAGGAGGAATCAGGAGTGAAACATTTTTACTCTGTGGGGGAAACAAAAACCCAACTTATTAGTGTGTCTGAGGTTAAATAGCAACTCAGGCTCCGTTTCACAGTGGACAGTTAAATTTTGCTACTCAATACTGGTGGATAAACCAAGGGTACCTCTTTATATCTCTAGCTCCGCAAGCTGGCAAGACTGGAACAGAAGTGTTAAGGGATAGCAGCACAAAATTATGGGAACTCTTACATTCTGGCATTGGGTACCATGGAAATGAAGCTCGTATTTCACTGTTGGGGGAGTCTGGGGTGATTCCCCTCTCGGAGCCAGTGGGCTGGCGCGGGAAGAAGTATCTGTTATTCAGTCAATGTAAACAACTCCATAGCACAGAAAGTTGCAATGGGAATCTACACGAATCCTAGTGGGCACAGAACTCAGAATCTCTCTCTCTCTCTCTCTCACACACACACACACACACACACACACACACACAGCTGCAACATGGTTTGTTGGTGGCATGAGAAAAATGCTCATGCTACAGTTGGAAAAAAATGCTACAGTTTGGGTCAAAGATTGAATTTTCAGCAAACTGCATGGTAATCTACAAGTTCATTTCTTTGAGATATTACCATCTTTTTTTATTTTTTGACATTTGTGCAAGAGGCAAGGTGAATGCATACATAGTTAAAATGTTCACATTGAATGGGAAGACCACTCGTAATGGCAGTCTGAATTGAACCCATTTTCAAGTATTTGTTCACAGATTCTTCTGAGTACTGAATCCACTCTTCCTACTGGTAAAGCAGCCCTTCGGAGCCACACACCACATCAGCTTCAAACAAAAGAAATGGAATGACCAGCACCTTCCTTTGTTTCCGGACAAGTACACAGAAGCCTGCCCTTGGGAGCTACATGGGGCTAGTTCTGATACTGCCAAAGGGAGGGAGTTCTTTGGCCCGTTAGTTCTCTTAAAATACAAGCAGGTGTCTCGTCTTAAGGTACCTCTCAAGGACACGGACAGGATAAAGCCACACAGAACAGCACGCTGGAGGCCTAGTAGGTGTATTTGTTCAGCGGTCTCACAGACGTCGTCTGAGGAGCAAAGGAAGGCTTTGGTGGCACGTCAGGTTTTAAGGACGGTGTCCTCTTTAGTCCCGTCCTGGGGAGGGTGCCGTTACTGGTGTAGCTGCTCTGTCTGGACAGGGACGGCTGGAGGTGGACACTCACGGGCGTCCCCTGAATAAAGTCCACTTTTGCCCCCGTGGGGGTGGGCACATATCCCCCACGGCTCATACTGGGCTGTCTGGACAACAAAACACCATTCTGTGAGTTGAAGTTTTTAGGCATGGCAGATATGGAGTGCCTCTGTGAGGAACTTTTGTGATAGCCCCTTTGTCTTTCCAGAGAGGTCATTGGGGCCCCGGGAGTGGTGGGGACATCCACTCGCTTGGTCGGACTGTTTCTGGGGAGTGTTGAAGGGGGAGAGTAGAGAGACGCCTCCCGGTTGGGCACCTTGGGGGGCACCTCGGACATGGGCCCCATGGGATCCAGCATCAAGCTCTGGTGGGCCATCTGGATGTCGCCCATGATGGCTTTGGGGTTACTACTGGGGTCATTGAGATGCTTCAGGAGATCATTGAGGGTGTTTCTGGAGTCCACAGAACGCCGGTGGTCCCTTTTGCTAGATGACTTTGTGAGGGGATGGTCCACGTGCTGCAGCTTCTTCTCTGCTTTGTGAGCATTGGAGTTTGAGAAAGACGTGTTGTAGTCATGGGTGGCGTTTGGGAGGACAATAGCACTGGGGATGTGCCCGTGGCTCAGCGGGGAGTGGGGCGGAGGACTGGAAGGGAAAAACTGCGGGGCTTCCTTCCTGGAAGCCCCGTGGCTGTGGGCCTTGTCTGAGTGGCTCTGCATGGCCTGCAGAGGCTTCTGGTGCAGCACCGGGGTGGACTCCGGTGTGGGGAGAGCAGCCAGCTCTGGAGGCTGGCCGCGGTGGTCCAACACCATGGACTTCGTGTCTCCACTCGGCGGCAGCTCTTTCCTGCTGGTCAGCAGGTTGCTGTAGAGTTTAGGAGAATCGATATTCTGTTGGTATTCCTTCACTGGGCTGTCAAAAAGGCCATTCAGTTTGGCGAAACTTCCACTGGAGTCTGTGCACGACTGGGCTGATTCCGCATCTTTGTGGATCTTTCTGTTCTTTCGCACAAACACGTCGCGGTAGCAGTAGACGGCCACGCCAGCGATGAAGGCGCCCAGGACGAAGGCGGCAAAGACACAGGTGATGAGCACGTTCATGTGGACCATCTGGCTGGACTCCCCAGACTGGACCTCCCATCGCACACCTGCAGCACACACAGCAAGAGTCTGAATGAAGTGCTGTTGAAAACAGCATCACACAGCACATGGCTTCTACTGAGCTCTCTCTACCTTCACACGCTTAGCTCGGAGGGTCCAGGGGACACCAACACTGCAGTCTTCTCTTTAATCCCAAGAGGGTCCCCAGAGACACACATGACCGCTGCAAATGCCAGGATCTCTCTAACCTCCCACTGATCTGTGATTTTCTGTCCCTCCCCCCAATCTCTCTCAAATAGATGTTAGAAATTTCAAGAGCTTCTACCTAAAAAATAGAGTGAGGAGGTGTACATTGTCTAAATAGCCAATTTTAATCCCATGAAGTGTTTTATCTCATGATTTTCTCCTAATTCACAAATCAGAATTAAAAGGCAGCTGCTGGGGGGATTAGGGAAATGTAGGAATTAGCATAAATATATATTATGCTTAAATAATTATGCTAATACAATTATACTAACCTAACTAGAATACAAACACATAATTTGTTCACAAACTAAAATAACCTTAGTCAATGTTAGCTACAAATATAAATTTTCGTATTTGCTTTGATTCTTTTTTATTCCATCTTGGAGAGAAGCACTCTTGAATTACCTGGTATATAAAAATAATCTAGACAGTATAAGAAACTAAGCTATGTATTAGTTAAGTGATACCATTAAGTTATCTGGAAATATTGAGAAATATTTAAATTAGACCTAGAAGGAGAAGAGTGAATTAGTTTGTAAATATTGGAATTTTTAATGCAACCACAGACATTTAACAATCAATCAAGGAAACGTTAGCTTAAGAGGTATCCAAGTCTGTTACATGCTAAACACACAGCTATCCCAGAATAAGTTGGTCAGAGGGTTCTGAAAACTCTGTTGCTTGCGGTTAGTACTAAGGGCTTTGAACATTAGTTGTTTACAATCCATGTCTGGGGTTATGGAATTTAGTGGCATTGTGAAAAACTAAGAAAAGAAAAGTAGAAAGAAATGGTACTGCTAAAGAAAGAAAAGCAGAAAGAAGGATGATTAGAAAATTGTTTCCAATGAAAATATAAAAACCAAAATCAACAGATGTAAATCATAAATGACAAAGCAGTGCCATAGAAACTGTTTGGAAACCTGATACCACAGTTTAGTAGCACTGAGGAATAGACTGTTTTTTTGGAGTAATGTATCTCATCAGCTAATTCAACAGGCAGCTATTTTACAACAGATTCTCTTATGGGCTAAAAGGGACAGTTAGGGACAAGCACTGTTATACTCTATTGTTTGTGGCATTCAAGCAACTTGTCACTGCATGCAGCCTTTCATATTGGCTTCTGAACTGAAGCTAAACAAGAGGGTGGAAAGGCTCTAGCCAAAACATCTGATACTGAGATATTCGCCATTAATGAGCTTTACTTTTTGATGTGACGAGGGTGCCCCTCGAAATGCCCTGCTATTCGGCAGTCTCTCAGCTCCTTCAGACAGAAACCCACACAGATCTGACTGTCCGTGTGGCTGCTTCCCCAGCCGAGTCTCTGAGAGCCTTCTGCCCCTTTCATCTTCCCAGGAATGCACGCGGATAGAACCACAGCAAAGCCGGGTCACAGGGGCTGGCGAGGTGGAGGTGAGGGTGGTCTCGGGGACCATGCATGCTCGGAATCAGGTTTCCACACAGTTACAGATGAGTGCCCTGGTGAGGCCTTACCCTTTGGGATACCTGATAAGGGATCAGTAAAATCAGAAGTGTTTGGGTCGTCTTGGACTACAAATTTCCGGGAGCTCGTCAGTTTAGGTCTCCAGGTATCAATCACTTTAGGTGTAATTTCTGGGATACTTGCCACTGTGGTAACAGAAGACGAAGATACCTCCATGTCTGTGGTGGCAAACAGATGTTTATTAAGGTGGGAAGCGCCACAAGACCTCTCATCGGTCTGCAGCATTTCTCAGTAAGGTTTAAGTCAGTGCTATGAGGTTTGTTCTAGGAGTCTGTGAACACACACCTGAGGGGTCTACACCAAATCCCTTTCTTGCAAGGGAAGAATACAAACTACAAATGAACAGTAAAGATGTATTAAGCAGATTTCAAAACGAAAGACATTTAGACATCTCATGGCCGCATGGGTATTAACGTGGCTAGTGGAAGAGGTAAAACAAATTCCAGTGCAGATTCATTGCAGTCCGCCCATCCTCTTGTGACAGAATGCCACTTCATGTCTGTTCGTTTTGTGCGTATTTGAAAAAGTGTTTTCACAGATGGTGGGAAACTTTACTTTCTTTACCGGGGAAGCTCCAGTGTGATTTCATCAGAAAGCATCTGCCTAAGAGCTTGGTTTGCTTTACCATGGGCCTCCTGTCTACCTGTGGGTTTTGCAGGGCCGATGGAGAACTTCACCTGTGTTCTCCAAAATGCCTGGGGAGTTGCTTCTAAGGAGTTAGCAGCAACTCCTGCAAAAGCAGTGGCATTTACAAACTGAACAGGGTTGCTCAGGTGCCAGCCCTTTCTCCCCACAAGGACAGGCACTGCTGTCAACCCTAGGAGCAACAAGGCTCAGTCACAAACTTTGAGCTCCATCCACCAAGCAGCTTTCTCTCCAAGGTGAGCATGTTGTGTTAGGCTGCGACTTCAATTTGGACCAGGGCAACAGTCCCGGACAGAGGGTCCCAAACAGACAGAGACAGGGACAGGAGGGGCTCACTGAACATAGCAGCACATCCAGACTCAGCTTGCTTCTTCTCTGCCACATCACTGACACCACGACATTCCAAGATTATTGAAAAACATTCGGGAAGAGAGCTTTCACACTCACAAATACACACTTTGGGGAAATGTGTATTTGGTCCCTCTGACTTGGGAAAGGTGAAGAGAGGGAGAACATTATGGAATTCTGCCATCCATTCGGATAGGCGGCCAGAGGGATCATTCACAATGCAAGGGGGTGAGAGAGGAAAGCTCAGTGGGCTGCGTGCAGCGGGAGGTGGTTTATGTGGACCCGGCTGGCTTTCCTCACAGGCTGCGCCTGCTCGATGATGAACCGTTTGCATGCTACACAGGGGTGAAGTGCTGAGTCAGAAAAAGTCTCCCGGAGGCGTCAGAGGGAGCATGAGTCAAAGCGGAAAAATGAAGGTTTGCCAAACTGCGCAAAAGGCGGGGAGGAGGGGCTGAAAACGCTGAACTGAAGGAAAGAAAAGGTTGTTAATTCAAAAAAATTAAAAAAAACTAACCAGATGTTGGACCGCCAAATATTTTGTAATCTGGTGTAGTTGAAGTAGGCAAAATTTCTAAAAGAATTAAAGGAACAAGTAATCAGTGAAAAGTAACCAAAAGAAAGCAAAAAATTTATGAATTCCAATTAACTAAAAAAGCCAAAAGAAAAGACTACGAACTGAAAGATTTACCTACGGTTAGACTTCCTCTCTCTAGATCTTCTACCAAATTGTCAACAGTGAAGGAAAAGAAAAGGTAAGATTCTTTGCTACTGCACTCCCAAGACCAAATGGCTCAACTTTCGTGAAGTTTAAGTTAAATGCTAGGTGGTATGTGTCCCGAGTCCTTCAAAAGGCTGCTTGTAAAATAATGATCACGTGCAGATGCGGTCAAAAGGAAGCGGCGGTGGGCCGGAAGGGTCCGTCTTACCGTGGCAGTCCCCTAGGTGGGCCGTGTGGCCGTACTCTGTGTCCTGCTCGTACACTCCGGTGCTGTGGTTATGGAAAGCAAAGAAGTCTTCGGTTAGCAGCCTTCATAGGACCAGAGAGACCACAAAGCAGAACCAAGAACACAGACTGGTTAGTGAGACTGGGCTCAGAGAACCGACCGAAGGACACTGCAACGTCACTTGCTAACCTGCCTATTTCTGTTCCAAATCTAACTAGCATGTTTGAGACCCACATAGAAGAGAACTGGGTTTTTCTCTGCAGCCACTTCCCTTGAGTATTATTAGCTCTACCCTCTCCCCTCTCACAGTCCAGGTTTTCTTTGCATTGCTATTCCTCTTTCTTCTCCCATATCAAAAATAAACACATAAATGAGTGAGTAAATAAATGAATAAATAAACAGGTACTTTTTTACAATGTCTAGCTTTGGAGAAGATGGTTCCTGGCCAACACGACCACACACTTACAGCATTCCTGGGGTCACTCTCCCGCAGATCCCCTGGCTTAACCAGCCACAGTACGGGTCCCGTGATGCAATACAAGACCTGTAAAAAGTCAAACAGGGTGTGACTTTGGCTTTTCGCATCATCACAGGTTCCCACACCACAAGATCTCCTGTAAGTACAGAAACACAGGCCTGGAATTCCAGCACTCTGAGAGGCTGAGGCAGGGGCATTGCACGTTCAAGCCTAACTTGAGCAACTTAGCAAGACTGTGTCTTGAAATAAAACATAAAGAAGGGCTAGGGATGTAGCTCACTGCGAAGGCCACTGGCTCACTCCCAGTACTAAAAGGGGAAAATCCCGCCAAAGACACGAGCTTACTTTTTACACGATCCATACCGCTCGCAGCGGCTGAGGGTTATTCGGACAATGCAGCTAGAGAAAGCCACATACAGTGCGTGGTGGTCCTTGTCCAGCTGCAAGGAGAGGACCTTTCTGTCTTCCTCATTCTCGGCATTGCACCTATTTTGAGGAAACATTTCAAAGTCACATGTTTAGCCAGTCAAAAACAACACAACCCACATGAGCCAATACTACGTAGTTTTGCAATTCCTGAAAAGTGGGAAGTCTTCAGAAATATGCTCAGTAGCAAAATACACAGTACAAAGATTGGAAAATAATAACTCTGTGACTCATCATTATGGGTATGCACGGCAGATCAAATTCTGGGTTGGACAAAGGGTTTTCTGAAGACTGTGCTCTGTTACAAAGGCAAAAGAAAGCTGTATTTATGAAGGATGTAAGGGATGAAAAGAAGGATGTTTTAATGCATCCCTGCAAATGTTCCTGGACCTCTCTCTAGTCTCCCTCGCTTCACTCTCATTTCCTGTTTATTTCAATTGTCTCAGATATCTCACTTTATCTCACTGGTTGACAGAAAATGCTACACCATGAATATGCTTTATGCATGCGAGTGCTTAGACCATCTGCCACGCATAGCATCCTGAAAATATACCTGCAAGGTAAGGGCAGTAGGCTAAAATGTTCTCATTTTCCACAGGTGAAAAGCAAGGGCTGAAGTTATTTTTTTAAACTTATCAACTGTTCACCCTCCTCACCCTAATTGGCTCAGGAAAAAAAACCCCTCAGGATTTATTTCAGTGAGGGGGAAAACAAAACAAAACAAGACACTAATATGCCAAACCATGGTCAATTTAGAGGGCAGGAGGGAAATGATTAGATGAAATACAGGCCGGAAATGTGTGAGCAGCGTTCTGGTAAAATACACCCACTTGGCATGGTTGTAGGCTTCTATCTCTTCCAGTAACACGCTGTCATTCAGGGAGAAAGCCGTGGTCTTCGCCAGCACTTTGAGCACCACCCCAGCCTCAGAGCCAACGAAGATAACCGTGTAGTTCTGGTGTGGCCCCGCCGAGTGGTCCACCGCGATGGCAGTCAGGCGGTACCTGGGGGAGGAGGTGGGCGTCAAGCCGAGTCTCCCAGCCCCAGGATGCAGGCTGGGCTACCTCTGCTCCCCATTCGGGCTCACCTGACTCGCGTCTTGGTGAACCAGGGCTCATCAGCGATGAGGGGAACGGCAGCGTCCATCAGCGGGTGGGATTTGATGAAGGCCAAAGTCTCATCGGGGAATTCGATGGAGGTTTTGTATGCCTCTGCGAGGCCATGTTTTGCACAGCAGCCAGGCCTAGAAGGAAAACAGTGTCCTCTGACTGCTCTCCTCTCCCAAAGTGGGTCTCAGGAGCAAGGGCACATTTGGAAAGAAGAGGGCAAAAGAGCAGGGAGAGGATGCAGGACCAGAGGGGCAAAGCTACTGCCCTGCCTGCAAGGGACAGTCCATGATCCCAGGCAAGGGCTGGGGACCGCTCACAGGGTGCCATGTAGTGTGTCTGAACTGCCACAGAGGGACTTGTCCTGGGGACGAAGGCCCAGCTGTTCTCTGAGGATGGACAGATGGACAGACGGAGGGATGGATGGATGGATGGATGGATGTGTGGATGAATGGATGGATGTGTGGGTGAATGGATGTGTGGATTGATGGATGGCTGGTTGAATAGATGGGTGGATGAATGGATGGATGAATGCTTTCAATGGCCACAGAATTTTACTCAAAGCAATCAATCCTTCTCAACTTTTTCCTTTACCTTGGCTTTGGTACTTTGTCTTCAGGGACTGCAGTCCAAACAGAATCTGGGGTTTTCTGTTCTTTAAATCGTCCTTTGAATACTTTTTCGATGTCATCCATGCTAAATGCACAGACCGCAGAACCAGGAATGCTGAAAAAGAAGAAAGTCCATCAGGAAGAGGTTGGGGACAATGGGCCTGGGCTTGGTTCTGACGAGCAAGTTCAGAGCAGCTTTTGAAACCCCAGGGACCTGCTCTCACCTGTTCAGCTGTGTGGTAAACACCCCGACCACAGTGGGGACACCATTGATTTGTATGATGTCTGTGATAGACTGTAGAACATCAAAGTAGAAGAATGAATCTCCAGGGACAGAGCAGTTAAGCCGAGCCTTCAGAAACGAGGTCCAGTGTTTGTCCAGGACCCGCTGGGAGCCACCCATGTCGTTTTTACATATGCGGGCCACTCGAGAATAGACAGCCTGGCAGGGACAAAAGTGAAACAAGGGTTTATGAGCAAGAAAGAGGAATGGAAACAAAAAGCAGCTGTTTAACAGGGGGACCACAAATGCTAACGGTATGTGGTACAAAAGGTCTAGCAGCCTTCTCCTTAGGGGTCTGTACAGTGAGAATGTAAACTACATTTACCTGTGAGAAAAAAGGGCGATTTCCTATTCTGCCAGACCTGTTCCCCAAGACATAAACTATCTGTCCTCAGTGCTGAACGGAAACCACCCCCACACTCAGTCTCTGCCTTTGCTTCTCGTATGGTTAATGAAGTGTGCCGTCTATACACTGGGCATAAAGCAGCTGCAATGCTTTAAGATCATGTGGGCTTCTCCCGAAACACCATAAGTAGGGCAAGAACTCTCCTTTCCACTGCAAAAGACCAGGCTATCAATGGCTTTCTAAAGAGCAAAGACGCCTCCATAGCTTGAGGGTACCTGTAGGATACTCTCTATGGTGACAGAAAAAGAAATGACAGCTGCTCAAGGCTCAAGGCTGCTGTTCCTATTCTGGCCATTGTTCAGGTGTTTTCCAGCAATTATTCCCAGGTAAGCACCCCAGCTCTGCGCTTGGCCTTTCATGCCCTGAGCTGAGTGCTGGAAAGCGTGTTAGAAGAGCATCCATCACGCAGTCAACGTGGCCTCAATTCCTCGCAGTAGAAGTCTGCAATACAAATCAAGTGCAGATACTTGCCTTGCCTAAATTATTGTGCTCTACGGCAATTTCTCGAAAGAAGAAATAGACGTAGTTTCCGTACTCTATGCCATGAAGGAAGTGTGGCTCTGAAAGAAAAATTGGAAACAAACTAGTTCCTAAAGGATAACACAATGAGTGCAAGATCCAGACTGCAAGGTATGATGGGCAAACGTTGCATAGTGACACTCCAGACAGAGACTGAGGAGTCCCTGAGATGGGCGTAGCCAAGTTTCAGGGAGCCAGCCATCTTTAAAGTCAGCTAATGGACTGTAAAGAGGCCAGAGGGAACTGAACTACAGCGAAGGGCTTTGCTTCAACAGATTTATTCATTAACCTATCTACCTAGGGAAGAAAAGCTCTTACACTGAGAATTTAAAAATCCTGATTTCTAGAATCTAAAGGAAAAAAAAATGACTGTGTGCTGATATGGACTACTCAGTTCTCATGGTTAGCTCTCCGAGGTAGGCAGATGGAAGTAGACAAGTGGTTGTATGTGCATTTAGTTAGACAAATAGGTAGATGAAGACAAGATTTGTCTCTAGGTTTATGTATGTGTGTGTGTGTGCACGCACGCGTGTGTATTTCAGATCATCTCAGATAGCTGTCTGGATGAACCGACTCTGCTGAGATCCCACCTCATCTCTTTACACAGAAGTGCTCTCATTCCCAACCACAGCCATGTGTGCTTGTCCCTGGGGAGCACTATAGTCACGCAATTAGCTTCCTTGTGGCCTTGACTCTCTTGCCTTGACCCCAAGCTTTACAAAGGTACCTTTTATCCATTTGGAATCATATCTGATTGTACGAAGGGCGGATCCATCCCCCATGCTTCGATAAATAACGTGATCACTGGACAGGAAGTCAGCCACCGTGGCAGAATACAGCTTCCCATCTGAAACCAAGGTTATAATTTGGTAAAATCACTATAATTATCCTGTAGTGTGTTAGCCTATGCAGCGTGTCACAGCCTTTGCATCGTGTTCATCTGTGTCACTGTCACCCACGCAGATAACTCCACACCTGACACTCACACTCTACCTTCAGCAGGTCAGCCCACGGTGTTACCTGACTTTACAGATGAGGGATCTAAACGTTCAAAGTTAACCAACTTATTCGGGGGGTCACTAGTTTATTTTACAGAGCCACATGTCCAAGTGCTTATAATGTGCTCCGAAACCACCTTGCTTTTAATTCTGTCTTTTCAAAATATTTGTTCATAGATTTTAGCCTTTGAAATGCCTGTGTCAGGATGTCTATCTAACTCAAGAGCTTTTTTTCCTTCCTTTAAATTCTTTTTGTACCTTCAATGTCACTAATCATTTACATTCATTATGCTAAAGGTTCTTACCAGCAAAAAGGGCAACATTGGTTTGTCTGGGATCAAATGGGCATCTTGCCAGGCCATTAATTTCTTCCCCATCATACTCTAAGGTATTCAGCTACAAAAGAAAAATAAATAGCTTATGTCACATCTGCCCAATGTACCTGTTGGAACGCGATACTGCTTTATTTGTATTGAAATTCTATTTGAAGAATTCTATTTTTATTCTTTTACAGCATTAGAGATAAAACAAATTACTGAGTTACAGCAGAAAAGATTCAACTCTGATAGCATACCAGGGGAGGGAATAAAGGTTGTCAAAAAAGCACAGCATATAAAACATACTTACCCTATAGTATCTGCACATAGGATTGAATGCATTGGTACCACAAACAAAAACTACCTCATCGTTTCTTGGGACAAATACTTTGATGAAATTGTGGCATTCATCCTAAAGAAAGAAACCACCACATTAATGTTAGACATCCCATAAGCTGACACCATGGGGTCAAGCCCAGAAAAGACTAAATCTGGCCGGTACCTCTCCTCCCAACTTACTTTATGTTTGCCTTTCATAGCACAGTTTTCTCGATCCTGTTGTTTTGATCGCCATGTCAGCTTCTGTATGAACCAAGCAAAGTCAAAGCTGAGATCTTTAACTGGGAACAGTGAGTGGAGGAGTTGGGTGTTATTCAAATTCTGGCAGAATGCAAATGAATCTGGGGGCTCTAGTTGCTCACCTTGCTTGGTATGACTTCTGTTTTGGGGATTTCATTTAAGTTTACTGAATAAACTTGATCCCTGTTGGAAACAAGGCAGTGAGTCAGATCATGGGAATGCATAAAGATGGTAAGCTGCTTCTTATTTTATTTTTACAGATCCTCCTTTATTGTGTTTTGGAGATCACCTGGATTTTCTCTGTCTCAAACAAAGTCAACAAAGAGTACTTTTTCATTAGTGAGATACTTTTATATATCACCGCGGCCAGGGAGCAAAGAAAGCTTTTCTCTCCAGGCAAGGGTCAGGCTGCTGCTTGGTATTAGCATAGGCATATTTCTAATATTTGCTTGAATAAGTCAAAGTTAAAAAAAGAATAAAGAAAGATTTTTTTCCCCTGCTGCTCTAGGAGAAAAGAATGGTGTATGATTTCTTGATGGCAGTAATAAAACAGCACTGCTGAAGGCTTTAACTCTCTATTTTGTTCCTGGTACACAACACTGACTCTTCTTGGCGAATGTTTTTGGCTACTTGCAATTCTTGATCACAATCACATATTAGTTTTTCATGAACTAGACACATTAATGCAAGTACCACAAGAGAAAAGAATTTTAATCTAATAAACCAACGAGAGGAAAATTACCTGCCAGCAATATAAAGTGTGTCTCGAATTTTCAACATCAGCTGAAATTCCAGCCTGTGCTGCGATTCATTGCCCGAAGGGCGTCCTCGAAAAACCGGATATTGCCTTGAATCTGCAAGTAAAAATGGGCTAAACCATCAGTCAGGATTATGGAACTGAGGAATCAATATACAGCATTGATTAGCTGTATATACTAGTTGTAGAAAGGTTTTAACTAAATTCCTCTCTTAAGGTCTTGAATATAAATGCATAAAAGGTGGTGAATGTCAGCAAACGGTCTTTTTCATTTTACTGAAATTATCTAACCTATCTGTATGGGTTGCTGCAGAAAAGCAGCCAACAAAAACGGTTCTGTTTCCTCCAAACATTTGGAAATAATTACAGATAAACAAATATGCAAGATATTTTAAAGACATAAAAATCTCTCTCTCTGAAAAGGAACAGGCTTGGACGACGAAAAGTAAAAGAACTTCCTTCTTAGGAAAGGAGAGTGCTTTGGATGACTTACAGTGGTAGTCAACAGTGTTAAGAGGCTCATCATCTTCAGGAAAGCTGACTGCCCTTGACTGGGAAATCCTGAGGAGTAGCATGTAGACACCAAGCAGGAAGGGCTTCATGGTGGGCTGGGACGACGTCAGAGCAGCGCAGCCTCAGAAACCCCACTTAGTTCTCTGAAACACAGAAGTAGACTGGAGTGATCTCTAAGCTGTGGTGAGACTCTTGTCCCATCCATAACCACCTCTCCTTATAACCCAGCTTTTTCCAAAGCTCCCCTCCTACCAGGATTGCTGATGGTGGTGGACCAGGTGTCTCCAACAACACAGGGAGAAGATGGCAGTGTGTCTGGCATGGCCAAAGCAGCTGGCAAGCACACTGACATCACAGGTAAATGTGCCAGAATTTTGGAGGCAATTTTGTTTTGGTTGAGTTCTACTGTATTTGAATATTATTGTAGTTTTTTGCATTGCTCTTCTTTGAATGGTTTTAATTTCTGTATGTGTTTATGTTTGATAATAAAGTTATTTTTAAATAAAAAAGAGAGGATTTTGGAGTTAACTATGCATGTCATCACAAGAAAATCACCAGGACCACAAACAGAAAGGCTGGCTGCTGGCTTGGCAAGGACATGGGCAAAGTTGGGATGCAAATGTTAATTAAACTCTGATCTGAATCCCTTTCCCCATCCAACACAGCTTGTCTCCACCCCCCCAACAAAATGCCCATGCTGTCTGTGAACTATCCAGAGAGCTGATGACCCTGTCAACCCTCGCAGGCTCTTGGCTTAAGGTTTTGCGGAGTTCCCAGCATAACCAAGCCTTGGCTCTAAGTTCTCAAGCAGAGTAGTTCCAGACCATCCTGGGAACAAGGACACAGTGACCTTGAATCAGGGTGAAAGGGAAGGGAAAGAAATGCAATGATTTCATGATGACCCATCAAGCAAAGCAGGGAGACCCGAGGCAGCACAGCTGCCACCCAGCCCCTGGGGAGATCCACATTTTTACATAAAGTCCTCTGGACCCGAGCCAATACCTGATGCATGCCTGGCCTCTTAGCTTTATTGAACTTTAGTGCTGCAGGGAGCCTTAGGGACCATCTAGTCCAACCCCTTCCATTTTTCAGATGAGAAAACTTAGCTAGAAAAATGAAGGGGATTTGATGAATTTCATGGAGCTTGTGAGAGTAAGATTAGAATCCAGACTCAATCAGCTGAGGCCCCCCTGTCCAGTTCTTTCTACAAATTAGATGGAGAATATAAATGAGTGGGTTTGTCCTTCAAATATGCAACGTGACACAAAGACTTGGGGGAGGGCTGGGTTTATTCATCATCTTTATTGAAGTTGTGATTCACAGATGAGAAATTCAACATTAAATACGTACAGTTTATTGTACACCAATTCTTCAATAAAGTTAAAATAGAGCATTAAATTGTATAATAATCACAATAAAAAATTTAAAAGAGCTTTAAACACCATTACATTATTTAAAAAGGAAATTATGGTCCTGCTGGACCAGAGATGGGCATTTTTAGGAAACTGTCAGTGCTCCATTTTGCAACAGTACCATCCTTTCCTCAACCAAAATTGACAGTTCCAGCTACTGTAGCACACAGTAAAACATTTAGTTTATGGTCAGCCCCATATACCTATGAACTTTTAGGCAAATCATAAAGAACCACAAAGAATCACTTCAGATTCTGGGGGATCTGACTACTCAACCAAGTACTTACTATGCTTCTTTTGTCTACTTAAAATCAAACACACACGTGTATGGATATCCATGCTAAGCAGGATTTCTCTAACTGAAGTAGAAGTTGAGTATGTGTGAGCTTTAGCATCTTAGTTTTGCAAGGAGATAATAATATTGCAATACAAATTTTTCTTAATGGAAAAATTGATCCAGCAGCCAGTTAATACATTAAAATGTCTTTAGTATGGTGGAATGGAACCTACAACAGCATCATTTGGCACTCAAGTTTAAAGCTGTGTGGACCTCAAAGTCATCTGGTGTGGATGGAACTCTACTACCTACTAGCTCATTGACCTGGGATAGTTTCTTCAATCTTGCTGATCATTAGTTTCCTTATCTGTAAAATGAGGATAATGGAATCTCTTCTCCTCAAGAAGAAAGGGAACTACACGCTTGGCACGTTGAAGACTCTGAGCAAAGACACTACCTAGGTATGGCCAAGCTGACTTTAAAAGTCTGAACAATTCTACAAATGAGAAGAGGACCAAGTGATGGAGGGGAGAGAAAGGAGAACTAAAAAGAATTAAGATGTGCTATGCGTATGTACCAACTCCCCGCGATGAATGCAATCATTATGTACTGCAAAATGCACCAGCAAAAATAAAAATTTAAAGTCTGAACAAAGTCGGGGGAAAGATATACTAAAATATGAAGGCTATTTGATTCATTTTTTCCTCACAAAAGAAACAGTTATTTTAAAATACTAATGGATTACATTTAGAATACACTTTACAATTTGTGCCTATTTATCAAACCTGGAAAATGAAGTTAAAACAATTACTGAAATACATACTACCATCCCAACGCAATAGCCATGCACTCTGCCACAGGCACATGTTCTCAGTTATTGTGAGATGTCTTTTTCTGCCTGTCACTTCCTCTGAAGCAGCGTCTCCTCATCTTACTTTTTCAGTGATGCCATTTTTAAAGACCCTACAAAGGTGAAGCAGTATTCAAGGACAATACGTTGCCCTAAGAACTAGATTCTGCACCAATCCCAAACTCCATCCTCTGGATAGAAGCCATTGGATCTGTCTGCTGGACATCAGGAGAAAGAATCAGAAGCACCCACTACTCCTAAAGCAATGTGGAAATAGCTGCATGAACAGGAAAACTCAGTTCTTTGGATCTTCCTCCTCCATGACAGGTAACTGAATGGCTCCCACTGCGGGAGGCAGGCTCTCCATGATGGTCCAGGGAACAGGGCAGGGAGAGGCTCACAGGCAAGCCTGGGTCTCAGCAGCAACCTAGACTCAATGCTGACTCACTGGCCAGCTCCGAGCAGCCGCCTGAGCTATCATTTCCTATAATTCATGCATCTGACACTGCAGAAAGTACTTCTCTCCACACTCCGCCCCACCAGCCTAATCCTCCAAAAATAAAGCCCCACCGCCAACTGCTTCCTGTCCCTACATAAAGCGTTATTACAAAAAATACTGATTTGCCATGGAAGTTATAAATGGAAGCACTTTATGTTGCACATACATCAAAGTGAGGCTGAGCAGGAGCAGTAAAAATCTGGAAATGCTTGAGAGAAATGTTTTCAGCAGGGGAATTATTTGCATGCAAAGCCCTCAGACTACAAGGTTCTCACTTTAAGGAAGATCTTCAAAATTCAGAGACCAGGAGATTACTTCTGTTGAATGAAGGCAAAGTGTTAGAAATGCACACGGACCTTGGAGTTAAAAAAATACGAGTTCAAACTTCTGGCACCATCTATTTTCAGGCTCTGAACCTTGCTGAAGTGGACTTAATCTCTTTAAGATTCGGTTTCCCCAAGTGCAAATTGGGCATAGTTGTCCTTACTACCTTATCATCTTCTGAGTATTAAATGAGATAAACTATATAAAGCATCTAGCACAGAATCTCGTGCATAGTAAATCTCTGGTAAATTTTAGTAAATATCACTATGACTATTATTATTATGTCTCACTGGCACTGGGCAATGAGCACTTTTTAAGAAGCGATTTTCACTCTTTCATCTTGTACAGCTATTTGCAAAGCCACTCGTGTATGCTATCACAATGACAAGGGCTTCCAACAGGACAAGGTACAGCTTCACAAACGTGGATGCCTCCAAACAGCAGTGGGGAACCACTCTCCCGATGTGCAGGCTTATAGTAAGAGCATCCCCTAAAAGGTTAGTGCTTTTGCTTAGAGCAGCGGTTCCCCAGTAAGCATATTTTTTCTTTTTTGGTATTTCATTCTTCCACACATTCCTGATGTTAAATTTTAAAGAGAACAAGGGAAGTTCTTGAAAGGAGTGCAAAGGCTCGAGGGCCAGGACCCTTGAGAGACAGGAGGTGCAAGAGGGTGAGCTCCACAATCAGCCCTTGATTTCACCTCGTGGATTTGCTGCTACTTAGGGTCTATATACAAGAGTGCAGCTATAAAGAAAAGTCATATTTGAGACAGCAGTCTCAAGCTTAGAACCCACCAAGGAGAACTACTAGTAAATGTGCAAAGGCTCATTTGGACCTCTGAAGGTCTGAATATGCTGAGAGAAGAAAAACATGAGGGTGACCAAGCCTTACAAAATTCCAGCCTGATCTCTAACAGCTAAGGACTGCATGGATGGATGTCACCTTCACCTACTCTAGTTGCTTATCAAAACAGGTAAGGTGAAACATGTCTAGAGAAAGATAATATTGTCCAGATAACTATTTTTTAAAATGCAATGTGCAAAATTCAACCAGGAAATACTAAACATTCCAGCTCTAAGAAAAAGGCAAAACAACCAAGAGAACTAGGCCAGGAGTAACCAAGATAGTAGAGTTATCAGACATGTATTTTTTTGGAAATTGCTTTTATTTTATCTAAGAAAAAAAGTGACAAGATGGAGCATTTTACTAGTGCACTGGAATCCATCAAAAAGAATGAAATGGAAACTCTACAACTTTAAATATAATAACTAAAACTTCCTACTAGATGTATTTAGCAACATGTTGATCTTGACTGAAAAGACTAATATGCTGGAAAACAGGAAAACTGAAGTTATTAGACAGAAATTTGGACAGCTAAAAGATGGGAAAAAACAAATCAGAAAGCAAGATTTCTATACTTATAATTCTACTATCTATCTTCCTATCAAGATATATACAGTGGTATCTCGGTGCATGAACTTAATTCTATCCATGGTTTGTTCACAGAATTCATTCCATGATTCTGGTTGCAACTGAATTTTTTTTTCTGTACTGGGGATCGAACTCAGGTCCTTGCGCTTGCACAGCAGGCGATGGAACCACTGAGCTAAATCCCTGGCCCGCCACTGAATTTCAAGTATATACTATACAACAGAATCATGGAACGAATTCTGTGAGTAGAATCAAGGAAAGAATTAAGTTCATGAACCAAAGTACTGCTGTAGACAGATAGATAAATAGATAGAATCTGTGAAAAGACCTAATGTATTGTACTCTGTAAT